AGGACCGGTTCAAATAATTGTCTTCTGCTTTTGACCGTGAGTGGGAATCGAACTCGGGTTACTGGGTTCGTAGCGTAGTGTGGTTAGGCCACCGTGCGCGGTGCTGGTGGCAGTGACTGGCTTCGTGTCTTGTCACGAAGTAAATCAACTTCCAGTCGGAATTCTCGCATTGAGTGGCGCGACGTCGCATCGTGTACAGGAATGCTGAGGCAAGATGTGGACACGGATCGGTTGTGCTTCTGGTTTCACTCCAGTCAGGCTAGGCTAGTAATCTGAACTAAAAAAACGTATTATACCAGGTAAGGCCCACTTAGCTTTATTGCTATTTTTCAGTCACAACCTGGCCACAAATGATATCTCAAAGAAGTGGCTTATGTGAAAATTTATAGCAGCCAAATGCTCTAAACGGATGTTGATTCTAAATGTGGATGGAAAAACCGAAGGACCTGGAGAAAAATCCACACGACCATGGGAACAACATACAAACTCCAAGTATACTGGCATCAGGTTCGGGATCCAACTCTTGACCTCCTGTATACCAGGCGAGGGAGTTAACGTCTTGCCACCGTGGCACCCTCTAGACTAGTAGGCCTATGCTAGGGTGAATAGGGCTTAGCCTCATCAAACCTCTTTACCAGCTTCAGTTATTCAAACACTGCTGTCACAGCAATACTTCTTGTGGCCGGACACAACGAGAGAGCATCAGCTCCCGACTAGCGGGGAATGCGGTAGACTGACGCAATTGACGAACCCCTGGCCCCCAGGCGGGTCAGTTTCCCACGTGCTCTACTCGTGCCAACCTTGCTGTCGTTTTTGGGCAAAAATGTAATTTATTTATTTACCCCCTAAAAATGTTTATTCTGCCATCCAAAAAAGATTATTTTTCACCCTCCGTCTTTGAGACGGCACTACCTTATACGCTCGAAAGTATCTGCCGCATGGCAACATTTGTAAATCTTTGGCGCTGGAATACACAGAATTAGAATAAAACCATACTTCACGCAGTGCTTCAATACACCAGACGCAGGGTGCTTGGTTGGCACGCGCGCGACGAGACAGGTTTGGTTGCCCAAGTAAGGCCCGGGCCAGATCTGCCCCAGCAACAACACCATCGCTCCCTGCCAAAGCAGCACGTTATGCAAGTGATTTGCACGCGTGGCCAAAGTAAAAACGTGTAAATATGCTGACGTGAAACAGATGCATGTTCTCATTTACCAGCATTCTTGTGTATGGCGAGGGCTTCATGGATGTTTGTGCCATAACTGCCGCGCCGTCTGTGTTGAATAAACACGTTTATAACTCAGGAGGCGGCGGACTCTGATGTTTTCAAGAACAATAAGCATCTCCCCCCACTCATTTTTGTTGGGAGGCCCCGAGTTAGTGATGGGAATTTTCCATTGGCAGAGACCAGTCCCACCGCCATTGAATTCAACACGAAGTGGTACTTGATTTATGGTATCAGCACCCGAGAGATGATGGGCCCCAAATCAAGGTTTTTGACTTGGGAACTAATTGTGATTGGCACACACTACCACTAACCAGCTGGTTATCACATTATTGTGGTAAATCTGAAAATGAAAAACGTGGCTGCAAGTGAAGGGCCATTGCCCGAAACGTCACCTATTATATGTGAAGGAAATCGGGTGCAAGGAAGTGAAAGTCACGTGAGGATGGCATGCGTTATATAATCCAGGGGCCAGAACATAAATCAGCACCACGGGCACCACGGTGTCGAGATGTTAAATATCTCAACTTGCATAAAGGAAGTTGTCTTCGATCACGACCCTGACGCCTGTATATTTGGAGTTTGCGTGTTCTCTCCGTGGTCACGTGGATTTTTCTCTGGGTTCTCCGGTTTTTTCCCCTCCACATTTAGAGTATTTGGCTGTTGTAAATGTCCATATGATTAGCGACTTCGTTGAGCTATTTGTGGCCAGGTCGCTTCTGAAAAAGAGCTTCAGCTCAGTGGGTTTTACCTGCTAAAATAAAACATTAAGTACCACCTAAGGTTGCAAAACTTTAGTCACACCGATTCATGTATACGGTCAATGAGAGTGAATTAATTGAGAGCCCCACTCATTCCAAGTGGTTATCACAAGTCAATGCTGTCAGCCACGTTTATAAAACGGAACTGCGAAAAGTCTCCGCCACCCCAGGTGGTAGCCGCAAGTGAAATATCTGGCCCTGGGCTCTGGGGCTATGAGCATGCTCTGCGTTCAATGCCCTCGCGTTTCGCACCGAGAGCAACGCACTCGCGGGGCTTCTGGCAGGGTCAAGCGAGGAAGGTCAACGTCCTAAAAGCCCACGGCAAGAAAATGGCACTCACCGGATTTTCCCAAACGCCGCTCGCTGAGCACCCGGTGCAATTGCTAACATTGTATACTCGTCGTCAGTGATCGCTTTGAGATGCAGCTGCGTTTAAGCGCCTAATGATAGAAAATCCTCACACCGAACATCATATTCTTAGGTTTTTTCGGTAAAGTCACGTAGGTAAAAAATTCAAATTAATAAAAGTAAAATAAAAAATTTAATAAAATCACGACGTTTCGGAAGCAACACAGGTGGAACCGTAACAGCACGATAGGTGTATCAACTTTAATCAAACATATTTCCGTCATATTTATGTTATTACGTAAGCATCAAACATTCGTAATACTTGTGTAGATGTCATGGCAGTTTGTGTCGTGTCAGGAAAATCGGGTGCCTGTTGACTGCTGTTGGTATGGCAGTGCAGTGGGAAGTTGCCAGCGTTGACGAGGTGATGTTGGCGAGGACCCATACTGGTGGTGGCAATGGGGTGGAGCTGACCCTGGTGGTGGTGGTAGTCAACGGCGGTTGTGGAGACAGTGTTAGTCGAGATGGCTGCGACGATGGTTGAGGTGGTAGGGATGGTGGCAGTTGTGTAACCCAAATGTAACACAGCCCATGTGCAGTACGCGCCCCAGATGTTGGATTGTCGGGGCCAAGGACACGATTGAGATGGGTTCACCACTCCACTCAGTGGAAAATTAGTTTCTGCAACTATATCATCGGCCATGATCTATCCACTGCTGAATCTACATTCACGGTCTATGATCAGTGTATTCAATCTAGATTTGAAGTTTTCGTGACTGCAGGGATCCATACTCTTTGGTTATTTCGGTAAAGTCACGTGGGTATAAAATAAAATAAATTAAATCACGACGTTTCGATAGCAACACAAGCAATCATCATCAGGTGGGAAAACCACAGCAATACATTTTTTTGCTGTGGTTTTCCCACCTGATGATGATCGCTTGTGTTGCTATCGAAACGTCGTGGTTTATTAAATTGTATACCTACGATCCAGTGGCGGCTGGTGATATTTATTTTTGGGGGGGCGCATTTTTTAAATTTTATTGAGGGGGGCAAATAAATATAAAGCAGTACCAAAAGCCATTTTGACTACTTGAATATAAATTTTGATGATCTTTATTTACATTTCAGACCAAAAGAAGTACCAAAAAGCATGTTTCCTACTTGAACATAAATGTTTCTCTTTTATATACATTTCAGACCAAAGTACCAAAAAGCATGTTTCCTACTTGAACATAAAAACGTTAGTTTCATGCTATTATCAATATGGCTGCGGCTACTTTCATGACGTTTGCATTTGTCAGAGAGATGTTTGAGGTCTCTTACCCCCGTCGTTGTCCACAAAACTTCAGTGCCGACACTTTGAAATAAAAGACAGGGAAAACAAAAAAGAGAATTGCTAACATCACATCCAGCCAGCCACCTCCGTTTCTCATAACAAGCGCGGGTGAAGCTTCGTGTGTAGCTTCGTCCTCTGTCACTGGCCTGCTGCTGGATTTGTAAATCGGGTTGGTCCGGTCCGAGATCCTTTATCTTTTTTATTTCTTCCAGCGAAAGCCTTGTGAAAGGGTTTTTTTGTAAATAAATTACAGAATTTGGATGAACTGCTGCCATTGTTTACACAAAAAATTTGATCAGCCTAGCAAGTGTCAAAGTGGTGTCGCCTTCGCACTCGCAGTAGTGGCCTACAGCGTAAATTTGAATGACAGGTGACGAGAACCAATCAGATTGGATAAAATAACATGTATCCAATTCTGATTGGCCAGGGACGCAACGACTTGCGCCCCGAGGATAATCTTTAAGAAACCAATTAGAGACCAGCTTCAGGTCACATGCTGTCCGAAAATGTAAAGTCTCACATAGACATCCATTTGTCCGGCGCCCAGCATAAAACACATTGAAAAACATAGAAAATAGTTGACCGATTAAAGCCAGTTTTTATTAAATGCTGATGCTTTTCTTACTACCAGCCGGCACATCGTATGAAAAAAATATTTTATTTATGTATTTTTATATAAATTTTGTATATGTATATTTCTGGAATATTGATGGGGGCGGCGCCCCTGCGCCCTCTATTGACGAGCCGCCACTGCTACGATCAGTATTGTGAAAAAACCTAAAGCGTCTCCCGACGACACTCGTCTCCATTGCCCTCAGCCAGTGGAGGAAATTCCACAATCCTATGGCAGAGGCTAGCCTCTCGACCGAACGACCACTTTTGATTCCCCACAACGTGGTATCTATTTTATCCACCCTTGATAAGATGATGAGTTGAGTCGCCTCTCACCCCTCAATGATGTGCAGTGCGTTTTAAATGTCGACAAGTGGAGGTATGTGCTCAGTGAATTAAACAGTAAACTTAGATTATTGCAAATAAATCAGTACGAATAAACAATAATAGGAACAATCACCAGCTTATACAAACGCTGGAAAGTTGGTTGCATAGTTTCCCGATGGAGTATAAGTGTAAAGTAAGACGGAATCTTAGACACATATCTCATTGAGCTATCATTTGTCGCCAGGTCGCTCCTGAAAAAGAGCTGTATAGCACAGTGGGCCCCTTACCTGGTAAAATAAAAAAAAAGTTTTAGTTTAGTTTCAGCTACACACCAACATAATCTGTGCATCTCGGGCGATTCCACGTGAATTAAGCTTTGTCACTGACAAAAAGGAAATACTTTCAATTTATTTTCAATGATGCCGCCCGTAAACATCACATCCCCGACGCGAAAGGACAACAACAGCACACTTTGACTGCGGTCACCGATCTCAAACGCTGGAGCACGGAAACATCACTGCCCGCTTCCATTACTCGGAGAGTCACGGGGGGGGTTTGTGTGCCGGTCCGTGGGCATCATTGCGGGTCTATCACTCTCCTTGCGAGTCGACAACCTCAACTGTGGCACGCACAACAATGCTACTGCCCGCATCGAGCATTCACTGGCAGCGGTGTTTCAGATATTCACCAGGTTCACTCACCAACTTTAACATGAGCGCATCAACGTTGCCCATCCGACTTCCCAACGTACGAAGGATGAAATGCGTTTATGTACGAGCAACGTCACGGTAATGCTACCAGAGCGCAATAGCGGCATGCCTGGCGCTAACTTTAAATTCATTATTTTTTTTCTTATTATTAAGCTAAGTGGAGGTTGGACAGCCTCGTACACACAGCCGAGGTATGTAGCTCCAAGATAAGAGCCGTTTGCTTTGGGTCCATGTCTTCGTTAATGAATGCATTTATTTTAAATAATAAAATAAATACGCAAATAATGTGCATAATGCGTGATATAACTTTGCGTCAAACATCTAACAGAGGGTGAGTTGGGTGTGTGGGGGTCAGTACCTAGAAGCATCTGCCAGTTCACCGGCAATGGTTCAAACCAAGCCTGACTGCTGATTAAATGTCGAAACCGGTCCAGAGTTTTGCTTGTGTTGAACCAATGCTGTTGAAATGTTGCGCTCCCAGAAGGAAGAGCCGCATGGCCGACGTGATGTGTAAAACATTTTTATTTGTTTATGTGGAGACACAGCTAAGGGCATATTGTCTGCTTATTTGTTTTTGTTATATTCTCCACAACGCCCCGAGTGATTATTTTGTTTTAAACTATATCCACAATCGTCAGATGCACACACATGGATCTATTGTGAGGTTACATTCACGTAATAATGTCAACTATAATTAGACAAATATAACGACGACGATCGGCTCTGGCAGAAGGCGGTTTCGGCCGATGCAGGACGCTGATCTCCACGATGGCTCCTCCGACCCCGGATCTTGCCAGGATTAGGGTTTGAATCCGGGTCGCTGCGTTCAACACAGCCCCTCGTGTGCCATGCTCACCTTCGTAGAGTACAGCCTGCGCAGATAGAGAGAGAGGTCACGAGGTCAGGAACGCCTTGGGGTGTCAAGACGTCTGCGTCTATCGCATCCACCAAGGGCAAATTATTAAGCTAAATGATCAAACTATATATTTTTTTATTTTAGCAGGTAAGATGCACGGAGCTATACAGCTCTTTTTCAGAAGCGACCTGGCCCACAAATGATAGCAAATGAGGTGGCTTATCATATGGGTATTGAAAGCAGCCAAATACTCTAAACGTGTGTTTATAAATGTGGAGATAAAAATCGGAGGACCCGGAGAAAAATCCACGCGACCATGGGGAAAACATGGAAGCTCCAAATATACAGGCGTCAGGATCGAACCCATGCCCTCCTGTATACCAGGCGAGGTAGTTAACATCTCGTTACCGCAGGCACTCTTATAACCCCAGCCCACCAGAATGTTAAACCAGTACCATGTTTACGCTGTGCTGCGTGTGTATGTACACAGGGAGCCCGCCCCAACCCCCGCTTATTTGGGGCCCAGAAAACGATCTGTAAACCAGCAACGTCTCTCAGTCTTCCTTTTGTGGCCTTCTCTGCCCGTCTCCATCCCACTGGGTTTGCCTCGCTCCACCTGCCCCCAGATCTCTGCGTTCGATGCTCTCCATCGCTGCCCGTGGTTCTCCACCTGTCTGAGTGACACGCCCTGGGCTCTGCGTTCGGTCAATATTTATGGTGGGACCGAAAAATGTCCACGTCGCTGCCCCCCTTCCCCCACGCCTCCCCCCATCTGGCCCGCGAGCCCCGTGCGCACCAGTTCATGTAGCAGAGCATGCAGCTGTTGGGGTAGGTCTTCCCGTCCGTGCCGCACACGGGGAGGTAGTTCCGCGTGCAGCGTCGTGAGTAACGCTCGCAGTCCAACTGAGCACCCGAGGAAGACAACAGCAACACCGACGACGATGAACGCGACAGTCACACCGACGGCAGCAACGACTCGTGGCACGACGATGAGCGTGGAGAAGGGCGAACACAGCAACCATTAGGCATTATACATGATGATGTTATGACGTTATGATGGTGGTTGATGATGGCAGTAATAATGATGGTGTCCTAGGGATCTTCAGCTCAAATGAGCACTGAGGGCTGGTGTTCACCTCGTGTCTACAGCCCTGAGCCATTGGTGGAAATCTCCACATTCCTTTGCCAGGTGTCTGTACCTCAAATTAATACCAAGTTTATCGACCCTGGGTGGATGATGGACTGAATGATTAATCCCCCACCGCCCCAAACAGGATTTGAAACTCACAACCTTCTGACGCGAGCCGATCTCTCTACCCGGCCGGATATTTTTGACGATTATATGATGGTGATTAATCGCAGTGACGACGACGTCGGTGGTGATCCTGAAGGATAACGTCGGAGTTGATTATTATGACCGACGGTGGTGGGCAGATTTGGCAGGAGCCCATACCTCCTGCGTCGTTCCTGGAACCTCGTTCTGGGAGGCAGCGAATTCTGTAGTCAGACGAACAGACATGTCACACGGGCACAACAAGAGAGTCAAGCAGACAGACAGACAGGCACGCATGACCTACAGACACACACACAGAGGCATTACATAGATGCATAGACAGGAATTGCACAAATAAGGCGGGCATGATATACGCACAGTGATGACAAAGACATACACGCTTAGAATCAGAATACTCGTCAGAATCTGTATTTAGACTGGAGGAATCCGGTGAGCCATGAAGCTCGTATTCACAGATGTCCCAGTTGGGGCACGGGGTCAGAATGTTACATTTAGGCACGCTAGGCACAGCGGTTAACTGGTCCTGGACTTCTCCCCGAGTCAACTCAGCCTCTAATGAATGCCTGGTGCGGTGTGTAAACGTTAGCATAGGGAAGACAAAGGCGGTCAGGCTTGGTGCTGTCCACACCACCCCCTCGTGTGCTGTACCGTTCTTCAATAGGTGCTCTCTAACAGCAGGGATTTATAATAAACGGCAGTCTAAACACACTCTTACTTCATCCTGTCGCATTGGTCTGGCCCAAGTCCCCTTCCTCTCCCCCCACAACCCAATCTTGTCTTGTTGTATGCGGGTTGTTAAAACTGGAGAGATAAATCAAACTAATACTTGAAAGAGCCAGTCACCATAACAGATTATACAAACATGATATTTGTTGGTTCGCATGTAATCCCACACGCACAGTTGTGAAGAACACTTCAAGTGTCTCGCGCAGGGGTCGGCGACCTGCGGCTCCGGAGTGTTTCGTGACATAATCTATGTACGTATGTATGTGTGTGTATGTAAGTGTGTATGTATGTGTGTGTATGTAAGTGTGTATGTATGTGTGTGTATGTAAGTGTGTATGTATGTGTGTGTATGTAAGTGTGTATGTATGTGTGTGTATGTAAGTGTGTATGTATGTGTGTGTATGTAAGTGTGTATGTATGTGTGTGTATGTGTGTGTATGTAAGTGTGTATGTATGTGTGTGTATGTAAGTGTGTATGTATGTGTGTGTATGTAAGTGTGTATGTATGGGTGTGTATGTAAGTGTGTATGTATGTGTGTGTATGTAAGTGTGTATGTATGTGTGTGTATGTAAGTGTGTATGTATGGGTGTGTGTGGGGAGCGGTAGTGTAGAGGTTAGCACGCTGCGCTATGAACCCGGCGACCCGGGTTCGATTCCCGCTCACGGCCAACACCGGTGACGATTATCTGAACCGGTCCTGGGCCTCCCCTAGGTCGACTCAGCCTGAAATGAGTACCCGGTGCGGTGTGTAAACATCGCCACTGGGAGACAAAGGCGATCGGGCGTGGTCCTGGCCACCCACCCCCTCGTGTACCGTTCCGGCCTTCATAGGTGCTCGCTAACAGCACTTGCCCCTACAGTCTGTTTTGGCTATATGGGGGATCTTTGTGTTTGTGTGGGTGTGTGGGGAGCGGTCGTGTAGCGGTTAGCGCGCTGCGCCACCAACCTGGCGACTCGGGTTCGATTGTCGCTCACGGCAAACACCAGTGACGAATATCTGAATCGGTCCTGGGCCTCCCCTCTCCGGCCCGGGTGCCGTCAAGGGATTGCTCCCTGTTGGTCAACCACGTTATGTATGCTGATGATCTGGTGATTGCTGCTCACTCAGAGGAGGAGTTGGAGGTGCTGCTGCTGCTGAACCTGGAGCGGGCCACCAAGAGGTGGGGCCTTACCATCAGCTCCGCGAAAACTAAGCACCTGCCTGGGTATTTTGTGCCATCAAACATTCCACCCCCACAACTCCCAATTGGTGATGGGGCAGTTATATAGAGAGTGGAGAGTTTTCCATACCTGGGCAGTGTGCTCATGACCGGCTCGGGTTTGACAGCAGAGGTATCGCTCTGAATCAGTCGAGCGACTGCGTAACACACACGAAGCTTCGGGTCTTTTCGTCCACGGTCATGCCCTCCCTTCTCCCCTCTCTATGCTTCCAAAACGTGGACCCCCTAATGCTACATCTTCGCCAGATAGAAACATCCATCCTGAGTTTAACCAGGCTGGATTGTGTGAGAAGCTCACAAATCCTTGAAAGATCTGAAAGAAAGTCCAATCGGTGAGCTCCTCCGGCAGGCAAGTCTGCGTTGGCTGGGTCATGTAGCCCGCATGCCCAGACACCGCATGCCGAAACAGCTTTTGTTGAGCCGGATCGAGGGGACTCAACGTGACGTCTCTGCCACTGAGTGGCGAATGGCGGTTGTTGTGTTCGTGTGTGTGGGGAGCGGTAGGTGTAGTGGTTAGCGCTAAGCCGCGCTACGAAACCAGCGTGCCGAGTTCGATTCCCGCTCATGGCCAACACCAGTGACGATCATCTGAACCGGTCCTAGGTCGACTCAGCCTCAAATTAGTACATGTTGCGGTGTGTAAACTCGAGTACGTAGTGCGGTGCGCTAACCACTGCACTACCGCTCCCCAGACACACACACAAGCACGCGAGAGCGTACAATACAAAACATGAATTGTAGAAACACCACCTCGAACAACACACATTCACGGCACACGCGGCCACACCGCGAGGTGGATTATCACATCGCAAGGATTGTGAGATGTGGTGGCGGCTGGTGGCTTGGGGAAGGACGCCTCCATCCAGCAGTGGATGGACCATGCCTGCTGATGGCGACACAGTCGGGCAGAGACGCACCGTAGCACTGGGTGTGACGTAAGTGTGACTACACATCACGATCCACATCAACCAGCACGAACTTGTCCCGGCAGAAGGAAACACGTGCTTATTACATAAATCAGACATAAGTCACACGCCTGTCTCGTTTCGACCTCCAAGTCAACACACACACTTATTGCCTCGGGCAAGCGCTGTGTTAGCGAGCGCCCATTAAGGCAGGCACGTGAACATTAGTACAGGTCGTGTGTTACACTCTGGCTGCGTTGTGTCCGAGTGGTGTTGGGGGTGGGGGTGTAAACAAAGTCTGTGTACGTACCCAGGCACACGGACAGCATAACCAGCAGCAGGAGCAGGTAGCCTCGGAGAGCCATGGCGAAGCGGAGACGCGCGCGCAGAGAATCCACGGGGAGGTTCGTCACTGAGAGATGCGGCGGCCAAAGGGAGGGACGGCTGCGCAGCAGATTCACCAGGAGATAGCAGGGGACAAACACTGGGTGCTGGGCAGGAGACAAGCACCTCGTGCCTTTATACGCGCGCTAGGGGGTGGAGCAGAGGGAGACGCGATGGGGTTGGTGGTTGTGATGATGGTGCCGGTGGTTGTGATTATGACGACGCGCGGAGAGGAATGCGATGTTTAATGTTCCACTCCTCGACTCCTCTGGCATCTGAAAAAAATGCCTGCCCGGTCTGGTGAAGGAGGGGGGGGCGGACCCAGAGACCCAATCAATCTCCTTCCCTGGAGATGGGAAATCTGGCGACTTCAATTCCTCCGAAACAAAGGGCAGAGGATCGAGCGTGTCCATCTGTGAAGATTCGGGCACAATCTGCGTGGTGCCCTCCAGTGGTTGTGAAACTGCAATTGGGCCCCGCAGTTTCTGGAGGGTCCCAGATGCCGGACTACGAATAGAGGGGAGGGAGCGGAGGGAATAGGAGGGAGGGAATGGGAGGGAGGGAAGGATATTTAATTATTTGTACCAGAGCCCATGCCAAACCACGCTACGCCTACTGCTCTGTGTCAAAACAAATTTCAGAACTTTTAATCCTCAAAATTTTCACGCGTTGTACCCGAGCGCTGTTTTATCGTAGTCTTCCGTGTGCATTTTAATACGCAAGTCCTGTTTAACTACTCTCGATGGCGGTGAACGTAGTGCTTTAAACGTGATATTGCTGGCATTAAACCTGTCCCTGTTCCTGTATTTGTTGTGGTTCGAGACCGAGGTCTCCCTTACAAAAGAAGCGTTTAATAATAATAATTTACATTTATCAGTAAGGTGCTTTCCACTCATGTCTCAAGGCGCCTTGTTTAGTCTCAATAGGATCTCACCTGGTTTTAAACAAAGCCTTCAATACATCAAGACGATCACCAGAGCATGTTGTCTTTGTCTACACAGCTGTATCTCGGGTAGTAAGTGTGAATATGTGTTTATTGGGAATTGTGCATTCATATAATGATGATGTGTAAATACAACTACCTCATCAACATACTCACTATCTTGACTTAAAACTTTCGTGACTGCTGGAATGAATATTTTTGGGTTCTTTCGGTAAAGTCACGTCAATATAATAATAATTAAAAAAGTGAATTAAAGTAGAAAAATACAAATAAAATAATAATAAACCACTAATGTAGACTGTAGCCTAGTTCTTAATCGGAGTAAGCGTACTGGCAGTCTATAATGCAGACTGTAGCCTGGTTCAAAGAATACTCACAATCGCCATAACGCACACCACCACCAAACCACACCCCACCATCGCAATACCACACACTACCAAAGACAAAGATCCCCCCGTATGGCCTTAACAGAATGTTAAGGCCGTAACAGCAAGTGCTGTTAAGGAGCACATATGAAGGTCGACACGCACACGAGGGGTAGGTGGCGAGCATCACGCCCGACCGCCTTTGTCTCCCCAGTGGCGATGTTTACACACCGCACCAGGTACTCATTCAACCTAGGGGGAGGCCCAGGACCGGTTCAAATAATTATCACTGGTGGTTGGCCGTGAGCGGGAATCGAACTCAGCTCACCAGGTTCGAAGCGCAGTGCGCTGGACGTTACGCTACCGCGCCTCCGTCATTCGCCACGAAGTGACGGTGACGTCACTACGGCGCCTGTGCCAGGCCAGGTGCACTTTGAGGCTGCCACATGAAGAGCTCGCTAACAAGAGCTCTCGGGACAGACCAAACGGGTTCCATGGGTTGGCTGACTGAGATGACCGGTGGATGCACCAAGCTGTATCCCCTACTGTGCCAACTTGCTTTATTTTATCCACCCGGCGCTCCGCCCGTTGTTGTGAGCGTCGCTCCTCTGCCCTCCGTTGTTGCTGGAGGGCGACTGCCTCCAACTGCCCAGCAGCACCCTACCACCACTACAACCACAAACACCGCACAACCACGCGACCGTACTAACACCAATACCCGGCGCATGTGCCAGGCTAGGTGCACTTTGAGGCCACGACATTACCAGCACCAACACCACCATCACCAGAAAACTACACACACCCATCATCAACATCACACCAACACAACAATAACAGCTATCAGGAGAATTGACGTGACAAATAAACTACCACCACAATCACTACCATCCATACCACCATCAACAACAAAGCCTTAGCAGGCTGTTGGGGCAAGTGTTGTTAGCGAGACACACACACATGAAGGCCGACACGCGGGGCCGGATAGAGGAACGGGGCTTTAGGGGCTGCAAGCCCAGGGGCCTCCGCTAGCTGGAAGGCCTCCAGAGATTAAAAGTGAAAAGTTATTTCATTTGTGAATGCTCAATTGTTGTTAGCCTTGTAAAAATACCATTTTATTTTTCTTTAACTTTGTTTTCCTTTTAAAATATTACTGGGGGCCTCACAGTAGCCTGTAGTCCAGGGGGCCTACAAAATCTTAATTCGACTCTGCCGACACGGCGCACGAGGCGATGGATGGCCAGCACCACACCCGGCCGCCTTTGTCTCCCTAGTGGCGATGTTTACACACCGCGCCAAGTACTAGTTTGAGGTTGAGTCGACCTAGGGGAGGTCCAGGACAGGTTTACTACCGCTTTCCTCAACACCACCAAACACCACCACCAACCACCACAATCACCATCACCATCGTTTTCATCAAATTCATCCTCTGGACGGGACGCCCCTGGGACGGGGCACAGGAACTGGGGCAGAAGCGGGCAGTGGTCACCGGGGGAAGCAGAGGGGTGGTGGGGGCACGGGACCAGGAGGGGGGGTGGTGGGTGGAGGGGGGACCCCACCATCACCACCACCACCCCCTCCCCTCCACCTCCACCCGGCATCTGCCATCTCCCCCCCCAACTCCCCTCCCGTATCCACAAGTCAAGTCATCGATACCCGTAATTACGCGTTAATTAGCGGCGCTGCTCGTGGGGGACTCGAGACGAGCCGCCCCTCGTGCGTGTGCTTACTGAGCGGAGGGAGCAATTTACTTGGATCGAGGGCGATCTCCGAAGGCGTTTATCGCCCGCGCTCATCCGAGCGAAATAATCGCCGCGACTCGCGCGCAACAGAGAGAGAGAGACGCGGGAGAGTGCCGCAATTTACCCCCAGGGGAGCTTCCACATTCTGCTGTTTCCTCGCGATCACGCGCCGACGACAAAGCAAGCTGGCGAGCCAGCGCAACAAACAAGGGAGCCTCTGTCGTGTTAAGCCAGGCACGAGATATACATCCAGGAACGGAATTTGTATTATGCTGGAGAAATACGATGAGCTGTGAAGATCGTACAACAACCACACAATAGGAAAGGAAAACAAATCACTGGAAAAAAATATGTAAAATATTTCAAGTATATAAGTCCAAATTGCATAAGGACACCAATTCCCAAGCTTGGGCGAGGCAGCTAAACAATAGCAAGAACAGTTGCAGACCACACCAAGACAACGCACAGAGTGCCTCAAAAAATTCCACGTTCAAAATTGAACTATGGATACGTGGTTAAGGATGAAAGTGACAAATCACAATTGCAAATGAATTTGATCAATTCTGTCTATCCTAATATAACTTAACTATTACATTTATCCCCGAATAAATAATAACCATGAAAATGCAGGCCGTCAACCCATGTATTAGCTCTCCGGATCAACATTAGCAAGCAGCTTTTGTTTAAACGAGCAAAATCTGACCGAGTACGACCTTTATGACTCTCATCAGGAGAGCCAGGCTTGTTGCAACAATCTGCTTGGATTAGCCGAATGTTATTATTGGCACGGGGGCTCCATATATACTATGGGACGTCTTGGTACAATGTACATACCTGTCAACCCATATGGTTTACCCGTCTTCTTCTACAGGGATATTGAGCTTTCAGGTCCATACGGCGTACAGCCTTTTCAAAATTGGGAATTTTTTTGGTCTATTTGTTTGTGTTTCTCCCTTGTGATGGGGCTTTGTAGGATGAACTGTTGAATGTATAAGGGCACGGGGTGACCAATCAGGTCTGAATTGGTCTGTAATAAGGTAAGGGGTTGACAAGTGTGATTGTAGAAAAAACTAATTTGTGAGCTGCCGGTGCGGAGCATCATGCGGCCGTGTTGAGTGATTTGTGTTGGAGTATTTGTGTTGGGGGAATTGTGTTGGGCGATTTGTGTTTAAAGGAATTGTGTTGCGTTCAAACGCACGCGTGTACAGCGGGCGCACACGTACAGCGAGAGGTTCACGTATTGGACTAAACCAGGGGTCGGCAACCTTTCCAAGAATAAGAATAAACACTTTTTTGTACACAAACACAGCAGCAGGTATACAGCAGTTGACAGCACATTCTGACTCAGAGTTATTCTTTAACAATACAGTTTGACTGTTGTACATTTTGTCGTCACAAATACATTCCGTAGTGACCCATTCACTGCCATATTGATCAATTATCTTTACGTTAAATTATGTTTCAGATTTACGGGTTGTTGATTTTTTTCAACTGCTGCCCCCAAAGGGCTGCCCCTAAGGGGAGGCCAAAGAGTCGCCAGGGGGGGCAGCCAAAGAGCCACGTTCAGCTCCAGAGCCGCAGGTTGGCGTCCCCTGGACGAAACCGTCAGTCCATGGGCCACAACAGAAAACTGACACCACCTAAGGCTGCAAAAACCTTTTGATGTTCCTATAAATGTACATGGCTCATACGACTTAATTATTTGATAACCTCACTCGTTTCAAATAGTTTTCACATAATTCACTGTTTTTTGCCACGTAAAGAAATCGGAACCACTAAAGTTACGCCCCCTCCCCCCATCTCCAGGTGGTACCGACAAAGTGCGATATTTACTCTGAGCTCAGAGATTTCCCGTTGGAAAGTGCCCCAAACGCACGACCTCCTGTATACCACGCGACGTCGTTAACATCTCGTCGCCGTGGCTTCTCGTTGGAACGCGCCCACGAACGCACGCTCGTCGCTCCCGACACGCGGTGTGTCCGTGTACAGGATGTTGAACGTATTTCGCACCGTATGTAGCCAACCGTGCTAATCAGAGGGGCGGCGGGAAGGACAACAAACTAATCACATAAAGCAGTCTTAGATTAATAAAAGAATTCAACCTAGATTTAAAAGTGCATAGCTCCAGTGGCTTCCTAGTATCGGAAAGAGTTCCATAAGTGCTCCACTATCGCACACAGCACTCCGATAATATTCTTCACACGGCTCCACTTTAGAATCCTCTCCCATCGGATATTTCCCCAAATATGTCCATTGTAACCTTCTCCGGTTCAAGAAACGTGCATTGGTTCTTACCTGCTGTGAGATCACGAGTGCTGTTTGTCGCTGGTCGCTTCACCTCAAAAGCAATTGGACCTGTGTTCAGCAAGTGTAATTAAAAACACAACGTCCGTCCCTCCCCTCCACTCCCCATCATCACCTCCTCGCTGTGCCACGTCCCGTTAGGATTCAGCCCCAAATGTTCCATTGTGGCCATGAGGACGATGGTGTTGTTGTTGATAGGCTTCATCTCTCTCGGGGGGAGGCGAAAGGGGGGGGGGTAAGGGGGCTCTCGGTGACACCAGCAGGGGGATATGAGAGTGGTGGACAGGGGATACGCTGCGAGAGTGGAGTGGGGGTGTTTTGCGACCCCTGACAGCGAAGAGCCCGGTGGACTGAGAGGGGAGGGGAATCGAACCGGTCAGCCTTGCCTCGTGAAACCTGTCGGGTTGAGACGCGACGCACACACCCGGGGGCTCGCTTATAAAGGACGGAGCGCTTACAATCACCATCAGCAGAACTGCGACACAGCGGCGTAATCCTCAGTCGTTAAGCGATTAACTTAAACTAATTTTCACTTGGCCGAAGCTGGGAAAAGTAAGCGACTTGGTGGATAGAATCAAAGCGATCGAGGTCATCATCGTCAGCAACATCAATATCATCATCAGCATCAATAGCAGCAGCATCATAATAATTATCGGCAGCAGCAATACCATTACACTATGTAACACATTTTTTGTTCCTGGGTCGTAAATGTTATTTCGTAATTGCTTTTGTGACCAGGACAGTGATATTTTGAAATGTAACTATTTTCAATGAGAAAACGGGCGAATTTGTTTCTTTTCGTTCACGTAAAGTCAGAAAACAACAAGATATGAATCAAAATTAACATGTATTTATACTAAAGTAATGCTAAAATGACTACAAAAGATTTAGAAGTGAGTAGTTTTTCGAGATTATTCCTCCCCACAGAGAACTCGGTCCGCTGTGGCCAGTTCCGCCTGTGGTCGTGTGCCTTGGTGTTATAAATATTTTTAAATTTTTGGATTACTTTATTATAAACACATTTTTATTTGTATTCATATGTTTCTTTTCTTCTGACTTTATGTGAACGAAAATATACAAAATCGCACGTTTTCTCATTGAAAATAGTTACATTTCTAAATATCACTGTCCTGGTCACAATAGCAAAGTTTGTGGGGAATAATAGCCATTTTCTGGACTTTTGAGGCATAAGCAATTAGGAAATAACACTTACTACCCAGGAACAAAAAATTGTGTTACACAGTGTTATCATCAGCAACATCCGTATCAGGAGTATCATCATCGACAATAGTGATATCCAGCGGCATCATCCTCAGTATCATCATCAGTATCATCATCGTCATCCTTGAATCTGGGGTGGGCAGCTAGCATGGACATCATGCGGCAAAGTCAGAGCTGGCGTTAAGGGCAGACTGTGTCCTGCCACGTGAACGTGGAATTTCCACTGCACACGAAAGGGAGGGTCTGCCATAAGCAAGCACCGTGGTTTGGCAGTGCGGTGTTATAATCCTGCGCAGGGCCCTCGAGTAACGAACAGCCCAGTGGTGACACTTGTTTGTGCGTCATAGCAAGAAGGACCTAGGTTCGCTTCCTGACTTGGGCGTCTTTCTGACTGCGCAGAGTTTGTATCCCCCCCGCCCCCGTGTTTTGCGTGGGTTCCCTGGGTTCTCTGGTTTCCGCGTATCATAATACAATCGTTATGAAAATATGAAATGTAACTTGATATTGGCCAAACATCCTAATTGTTCAAACTGTGGTGTCTAAATGACTCTATTGGGGAGTACACACATATGTGTGGATGTTGAAGCGACATCGCACCCAACTGTGAACACTTGGCAGGGCCTTCCACGAGGCTAAGTGAAGTTTTCCTGGGTAGCCAGGCCTCACCATGATGATCCACTGGCATTGTCCTGTGCGGAAAGACCTCTTAAGCTGCAACGCAAATGCATCCCCAGCCATCGTGAGGATCCTGCCTCCAAATGGGGGGGGGGGGGGGCACAGCGGTGGGGGAGGGGGCAGGGAGTGGGGAAAGGCACTGCCGTTCATAAGTAGGAACTCGCTAGACTTGGAATGGGCGATCCACCCTATCCAGCCATCCTTACATGATCCACCTACCCCGGTGTCCCCCCCCCCCATCCCGTGGACACCCACCGCGCGCGTGCAGGGAGGGAGACTCGCGCCCAGGTTTGGGGGCCTCTGTGCTCGCTGCCATGCAGATACGTGAAGGTGACGGTGGTGGTGGTGGTGATGTTGATGTGGCCTCGTTGTTGAACTGCACCCTCGGAGGGTGCTGGAAACACCCTCCTCTGCAGCGGGCCGTCATCGCCACCTCCCTGGTGACGCTCATCTTCGCCACGGTTGGTCCGCGCAGTGATCGTTGGTGGCGGTGGGTGCTTGCCCATTAACCCATGCATAGAGGGGCCCGAAGCGGACATTATTTTTGGGATGCTCCTTTCAAATATTGCTATCATAATACCATGTTTGAGGAAAAAAATAACTTTTGCTGGCTTGCTGGAGAGAGAGAGGAGCGGACGGATGATCACGTCCAAAGCACGTGCGGGTGCTAGTATAAATATATATGAAGAAAACATTTAATTCATAAAATCGATTTTCTTTCGCTCACGTTAGGAAAATAATCGATTATTTTCTTTTCGTGTAACTGTATGCGTGTTGAAATTATTTCGCACCGAACGTCGCCAACAGTGCTAATCAGAGGTGGATGTCGTATGTGGCGAGATCTTGAATTGTTTAGCGACCCTGAATTATAACGATTATTATTCGATTATGAATTCGCCTTCATCGGTAACATTAATTACTCTCTCGTGTAATTTACCGAATAAATTGTAATACGTCATTATTTTCAGGAGGAAGCCTCAATTGAGTCTCATTCAAAAACGAATGAGGAGCGGTTTGCTTGCTTCACGTGACAGGTAGGAAACCCGAGGAGTTTCAGCGAAAACCCCACACAGGAGGAGAGATAATCTTCCACGGTCCACACAGATGGGTTTATGAACCCACTCATTCTACGCCCACCTCGCATCCCAAACAGGTTTGGGGGAAGTCACAAATATCCACGAGCTGGAGTCGTGGCTTCGAACCCTGACTGCCTGCTGTATATTTGGAGTTTGCGTGTCCTCTTTCCCCGTGGGCGTGTGGATTTTTCTCCGGGTCCTCCGGTTTTTGTCTCTACATTAAGTATCAACATGCGTTTAGAGTGTTTGGCTGCTATAGATTTCCACATGATGAGCCACTTCGTTTAGCTATCATTTGTGGCCAGGTCACTTCTGAAAAAGAGCTACACAGCTCAGTGGGACTTACCTGGTAAAATAAAATAAATAAAATAGTTTATAGTTTTTGTTTGGAGTCCCCGGGTAAAATGCCAGATGATACCTCACCCGCCTCTGATCTGAGCACCCCTTCTCGCACCCTCCCCCCTTATGTCTCTATCTGCTAAACTGGGATCCAACCTCGTCTGTGGGCCACGTGACCAAACCAGGTCGCAGGGCAACGCGTGCGTGTGTCTGGCGGTGGCGCTCACGCGCCGCTTGCGAACTCTCACCAACTGCTTCACGGCGTCGCTGGCGGTCGCCGACCTCCTCCTGGGTGTGCTGGTGCTGCCCTTCTCGGCCTTCGTAGAGCTCCACTCGTCGTGGCCTCTCGGGCCCACCTTCTGCAACGTCTACACAAGCTCGGACGTGATGCTGTGCACGGCCTCCATCCTGCACCTGCTGGCGATCGGCGTGGACCGCTACTGCGCCGTGTCCTCTCCGTTCACCTACGCGTGCAGGTGCGGCCCCGGGTTTGCGTCTGATACATATTTACGAGAGATATCGCTCATTCCGCCTATAACCCAAATTGCATTCTCATTGCTCTATTGGCGCCGTACGTTGAGACCGAAGCGTTTTTCCGGATCTTTCGCAGAGCAGTGAACCCCCCTCCCCTCCCCATCCTCCCCACCCCGCGTTAGAGAACGAACCCGCTGAAATTGATATCACAGAACTCATACTTAGTTCCCTTCATTGGTCAGCACACCAGTGGGCAATTTCTCTGACTCACTCTGCCACTGAGAGTAATGTTTGTCGCATGATAGTCTGACCTCCCGATATATACTCTTTGATTCTTTCGGTAAAGTCACGTAGGTAGAAGAATAATAGATCACGACGTTTTGATCGCAACACAAGCACTCGTCATCAGGTGGGACAACCACAGCAGTTTTTGTTGTTGCTGTGGTTGTCCCACCTGATGACGATTGCTTGTGTTGCGATCGAAACGTCGTGATCTATTACTTTCTAACTACGTGACTTTACCAAAAGAACCAAAAAGTATGGATTCCTGCAGTCACGAAAGCTACAAATCTAGATTCTCCCGATATATATATTTGTTTCAGAGCAAAAATGTAAGCAAATTAAGTACAAAACCAAATTTTGTGACTATCGTTATTTTAATATTCATGTTTGTAATGAATGTGAATAATAATTATTATTATTGTTGATAATTTCAACTCGTAACTGGCACAATATTTGTATTAATTTGTGTGCCGAGTTGAGACGCTCAACTCACAACAATAGAAAACCCGATTATAAATCTGCAACCTGGATTCGAACCCAGGAGTTCGACGGTTCCGGCTCAGCGCTCCGACCTCTAGGCCACGTGGCCTCCACCTCTCGGCGCCCGAGACCTCACATCTAAAATTAAAAACAAACACTATTTTTCTTCTTGTTTCTTTCGGTAAAGTCACGTAGAAGGGAAGCAACAAAATAATAAAAATAAAACACAATAAAACAATTCTCACGACGTTTCGGCTACAACGCAAGCAGCCGTCTTCAGGTGAAGAATGAGACACTACCAAACTAGGAGCTTATATATATATATATAAGCTCCTAGTTTGGTAGCCGAAACGTCGTGAGAATTGTTTTATTGTGTTTTATTTTTATTATTTTGTTGCTTCCCTTCTACGTGACTTTACCGAAAGAAACAAGAAGATGAATCCCTGCAGTCACGAAAGCTTTAAATCGAAATTTAAACACTATTTTTATTTTACCAGGTAGGGCCCACTGAGCTATATAGCTCTTTTATTAGAAATGACCTGGCCACAAATGATAGCTTAACGTCCTGGCTTATCATGTGGAAATGTATAGCAGCCAAATACTCTGAACGCATGCTTATAAACGTGGAGGGAAAAAACCCGGAGGACCCGGAGAAAAATCCATGGGACCACGGGGAGAGAGACATGCAACTCTAAATAAACAGATGTCAGGGTCGGGATCGAACCCACGACCCCCTGCATGCCACGCGATGTAGTTAACATCTCGCCACCATGGCGCCCGACATATCTGGCTGTGCGCCGCGCTATCCCACAGGGTGACCCGCGGGCGGGTCGCGGCAAGCCTGGCCGTCATCTGGCTAGTGTCCCTCGCCGTGTCCTTCCCTCCTCTGCACCTGGGCTGGAACACGGAGGACGGCACCCCGCAGAACAGGGGCCCCGGGGACCCCGCCGATCGCTGCGTGTTCGAGCTGAATCGCGGATACGTCCTCTTCGACGCCACGGGCACCTTCTACGTGCCGCTCGCTCTCTTGCTGTTCACCTACAGCCGCGTGTTCGTCGTGGCTCGCGCGCAGGCCAGGAGGATAGGCGCCGCAACGGTGGGGCGACGACGAGCAGCCGGAGGAGGTGGTGGTAGAGGAGTGTCGGGAGGAGATGCTGGAAGAGACGGGGGGGAAGACGGTAGGAGAGGCGGAGGAGGAGATAGCGGAGGAGGAAATGGTGAAGGTAATGGGGGGAGAGGAGGTACGAGAGGAGGAGTGGGAGGAGAGGGAGGAATAGTCGGTGGAAGATCAATATGCGGAGACGGTAGAGAGAATGGAGGAGGAGGAAGAGGGGAAGCGCGAGGTGGATTTGAAGACCGAGGACGACCAAGAGCAGCAGCAGCAGGCGAATCAGGAGGAGGAGGAGGAAGCATCCACCAGCCGCTCACGCTGGCCGCGCTCAGGGAGCACAAGGCCACAGCCACCCTCTCGGCGGTGATGGGCGCCTTCGTCACGTGCTGGTTCCCATACTTCACCGTGTTCACCTTCCAGGGCGTCACGGGAGCCTCGGTGGAGGCGAACGCCTTCGCCGTGGTGCTGTGGCTCGGCTACGCCAACTCGGCGCTCAACCCGCTCATCTACGCGACCCTCAACCGCGAATTCAGAGCCGCCTTCGTGAAGCTCCTGCGCTGCGGGCGCCCGGGGAGGGCAACACCAGCGCCACTACCGTAGATGTGGGCAGACGTGCAAAGTAAGGAGGAGGTGGAGGTGGTGGCGGAGCGATTTTAGCGCGCTGCGCCAGGAACCCGGCGACCCGAGTTCGATTTCCCGCTCACGGCCAACATCGGTGACAAATTGGTGAACCGGTGCTGGGCCTCCCCTAGGTCGACTCAGCCACAAATGAGAACCTGGCACGGTGTATAAATATCGCCACTGGGAAGACAAAGGCGCTCGGGCGTGGTGCTGGCCACCCACTCCCATGCGTACCGTTTCGAGCTTTATAGGTGCTCGCTAACAGCACTTGCCCGCGAGTCTGTTAAGGCTACACGGGAGGTCTTTGGTGCAGGTGGTGCAGGTATGTTGAACTTCTTTCGTACCGTACGTAGCCGGCCGTGCTCATCAGAGGTGCGGGCACCGAAATACATGCCTTTCATGAATGAAAAATAATCACCCGTTCTACCCTAATGTTCAATAATCATCATGAGCAGCAATAATTGTATCCACTGCTGGATGAAGAAAGACCTCGCCAAGCCATCCGCCACCTCTCACAATCTCGCGAGGCAACATCCCTTATAAACTGACGTTTTATTCCTGATTATGGAAACGAACCCCTTCGCTTCAGATGTTTCATTTCCTTGCGTTGGTCATTGTCTCCTCGCCACTCCTGCGTGTTTACCAGACTGCTCAGACGTCCCTGCCAACCCATTACTCATGACACACAAACTGCGTGCCTCAAATGAGCCACAACACCTCGCTGATCTCATCAAGGAGCATAACCCATCACGCGAACTCCGCTCATCCTAGCAGCCGCTTTTGGCTCGCCATCGAACAAAGACGGTCACTGCATCGCACGCTTTCAGATGCGCATCTGCGGCCGTCTGGAACGCTCTTCCTTCCGATATTAGGAAGCCACTGGAGCTATGCGCTTTTAAATCTAGAGTTGAAAGATAATTTCTTTAGAACCTGCTTTTTGTGCTCAGTTTGTTTTCCTTCCCCGCACCTCCGATTATCACGGTTGGATACGGTGCGAAATAAGTTAAACATTTGAGGGTGGCAGGGGTGGGGTGTGGAATATACCGTCCTGAATAAACAAACCTGCGTCCTCGTGTTGCTGCTACAGCATGCGTGCCCGTGTCCGTGTGGATGTGCCCACGCGAACCCAACGTGGTCAGATCACTCCACACACACAATGTACGAATGTTTAACTTCTGTCGCACCGTACGTAGCCAACCGTGCTCATCAGAGATGCGATGATGAAGAGGATGCCACTGTACAAATTGTGCCACGCAGAAAATACGGCGCCCAAATAAGGCATGGGGCAAACGTCCCAAAGCAAGGCCTGCCTCTTAAACTACTACTTTAGGTGCGAGCACAGCACGATATTTACACGCATGTTAATTACGTGTTGTATCTACAATGGGAGGGGACCACATGTAGTTCTTCCGAGAATGTTGATGGGGTTATTTTTTTTTCTTCACATGCACAGAGGCCGTGTTGCCTTTTACACATATTTATCTCATGTTTGCAACTCGTGGCTTTGCAACCCGCTCTATTATTTTTTTGTTAGGGTGACATTTTCTCGTAAGTTACTGATGTGATTGTGATTTTTTTCTTTGGCATTATCGAAGCTCAATTGCCCCACAGTGTGGCAGTGGCGACTCCGCATCATACGCGGTTCCCAGAGACAGACCTGGCAGCGGTGAGCATCAATGACCACACAGTGCTGATGACTTCTCATTGCGACGAAACCGAGCCCGCAGGTGTCTATCACTGCCGCCGCTGTCACTTGGTCACGTTTGCCGACGTGCACCTGGTTATTCGAACACACGGGCCGAAACAAAATACCCACACGTGGACGCACGTACACACGGTGGAGTACACAGCAAACGTAGTCGCCCGTAGCTACAATAAGCGTCGTTCGCGAGCACCTATTAAGTAAAGCCAGCAGCCCACCGAGACGGCCTTTATCTCACCAGTGCAGATGGCTGCGCAGTGCGCGCGCAAGCTACACAGATGACTCATACACCCCAGCACACGCCGCTCCGTGAGCGCAGGCCGGGAGTAGGGTCACCGGTAAGGGTCACGAACCATCCCACGTGACCACTCAACAAAGCACCCCGGCACATAATGCAAGGGATTGGAGTAAAATCCTAAATCTTTTGAAAGGACAAAATAAAAACGCAGATAATACACATTTTTACACATCCCGTGAGTCACAGCGGCCTTCTGGGAGTGATGTTTTTCTTTCTACAGAAGCACGAGTTTAATGCCAGCAAGTTCTTTGCCTGTTTCGACATTCAGTGGCTCATCAGCAGCCAGGCTTTTAATGGATAAACTTTAAGACAATCATGTCCATATGAACGCTCGGTTAAAGGATGAATTAAATAATAGACGCATGAAGGTGAGTTGATACGTCGATTAAAATCTATTCATCCGCTTACGATACACTCATCCATTTTTGTCATGATCTCGTGACAATAATATGTGCTCGCTAACAGCACTCGTCCCAGCCTTCTATGTAGGCTAATTTGAGAGGCGTATGCCTTTGATTATATATATACAATGTATGGGGGCGGGAATCGAACCCGCTCACGGCCAACACCGGCGACGATTATCAGAACCGGTCCTGGGCCTGTCATAGGGCTACTCAGCCTCAAATGAGTACCTGGTGCGGTGTGTAATCATCGCCACTGGGGAGACAAATGCGGCCGGGCGTGGTGCTGGCCACTCACCTCCTCGTGTCCTGTGCCGACCTTCATAGGTTCTCGCTTACAGCACTTGCCCCAACAGTTTGTTCGGGATATACGGGGGATTTTTGTTTTTTTAAATATATTTATAATTTACCCGTGTACATATGTGGTGAACGCAACGTTTCGATGAGTTCGCACGCAGTTGCGAGACTGATCGTGGCTTCATTACAGCAGTGGATTGAACACGGGTGATGGATTATCGATGACATCCTGGTTGTACCCGTCATCAGTGCCGTCCTCGTCCCGTGCACCAGACCAATCCCACGTCTTCACCGCCAGCGGGTGGCGCAGTGGGCCCACTTCCAAACCGAGATAGCCGAGGCACCGTACGCTGCATATACACACACGGATGTTGCACCATCTCTCACCACTATTAACGTTGAGTCTCCTGCCATCCACTCTATCACTCTTGGCCTCTCTATGTACGCGCCGTGGAACAAGGGCCAATTGCCCCAAATGTTCGCCTGTATAATTTTAAGACCACACAGGATTATTCACGAATGTTGCTGAGTGTTGTTGTTGTTGTTCTTTGTGCACCACTGCCAACGCAACAGCAGCATCATGACCAAATTATCGATTCACGTTGACGTCTTAGCTCCCGCTGCATTGCCTCGTGCGCGTGGGAATCGATGATTAATGATCGTACACGCGTGGTAATCGATGATTAATGATCGTACACGCGTGGTGCCCACGTCACGTATAGGCGAATCGAGGACACGCAACTGTACAAATGAGATTGTAAATATGCGACATCAACGTTACATTATTTCAACCGAACCCGGATCCTAATCGTGACAATTCATAGAATCTCTGGGCGGTCGGTCGGGGGTGAATGGTGATGGTGGCAGAGGCGATAGCTGTGTACGTGGTGGTGTCGATGATGATCGTTGGTCGTGGTGGTGGTGCTCATCGTAGTTGGTGGTGGTGGTGGCGTTACACTGCGCTACAAACCCGGCGAGCCGAGTTCGATTCCCGCTCACGGCCAACACCAGTGATGATCATCTGAACTGGACCTGGGCCTCCCCTAAGTCGACTCAGCCTCAAAAGAGTGCAATACCCGGTGCGGTGTGTAAACATCACCGCGAGGGAGACAAAGGCGCCCGGGGGTGGTGCTGGCCATCCAACCCCCTTGTGTGCCGTTTCGGCTTTCATAGGCGCTCGCTAACAGCCCTTGCCCCAACAGTCTGTTGAAGGTTATACGGGGGATCTTTGTCAGTGGTGGCAGGAATAGGTGAGCTGCAGTGGCGGTGGTGGTGGTGGACACGTCCGAGGTGGACACATACAGTCCATGCGCAGAACATTGTGTTAATCCACTGCTGGATGAGGGCCTCACCAGGATAGGCAGACTACGCCAGGAGTCGGCAACCCAAATAACAAGAAGATACTTTTTTTCGAATTCGGTCAACAAAAACAAAAAAACTCAATTTTTCAAGAGCCGCAGTGCGATGTGAATAAGGTCAAGAAGCGCTCCCTATAGAGCCGCGCGCGACTCCAAACCCCCCTGGACAAGATCGAAATTTCAAGTTCTACCCAAAACCACCGCGACTCGTGCGTGCCAATGACAATTGTCAGCAGCGACGACGACACCACACATTCTCTCCGGGTACAGAATACAGTAGCGCCGGAACCACGCCGAGACGACTCGTCTCACCGGTTCGCCTGTTTGCGTTCCGGTGATTACGAATTCAAAAATTCGGTTGTTGGCGGGGTTTTTTTTTTGGGGCCGAGTCGACGTAGGGGAGGCATCGCTCTTGGCACGCTGTGATTGAACTCGTGCCGTGCACTTTGTTGTGTTTCGCTGTTTGTTTGTTTTGCCGTCTGTCCCAGAGGTTGGCGGATTGAAACGCCAGAGGCCTCATCTCTGTGAGCCCTCGAGAGGAGAAGCAGTGGGGCAGCAGTGGGGCAGCAGTGGGGCAGCAGTGGGGCAGCAGTGGGGCAGCAGTGGGGCAGCAGTGGGGCAGCAGTGGGGCAGCAGTGGGGCAGCAGTGGGGCAGCAGTGGGGCAGCAGTGGGGCAGCAGTGGGGCAGCAGTGGGGCAGCAGTGGGGCAGCAGTGGGGCAGCAGTGGGGCAGCAGTGGGGCAGCAGTGGGGCAGCAGTGGGGCAGCAGTGGGGCAGCAGGCACAATTCAACTCGACAAGCGCAACGCATTCGTCAACAATGCCGTGGCCTTAAAATACAACGATACAATAATGCGACGTTTCGGGGAATGCCCGTCCTACGTGCTATGAAGAAGAAGCAGACGAAGGCCCATTGCCCGAAACGTCACCCGTGATCTATTTAGTTTAAGGCCACGCACAATGTTTATTGACGGATGTGTTAAGTTGTTTTTTTTTCCCTTCTGTTGTTTTTTTTCCTTCTGTACATATGGTGGAGCTTTGAGTTGGATTCCTGGCCACTGGGCACGGCTAACATCAGTGGCGAGTGATATCGGAGTTGGTCTTTTTGACGCCCCCCCCCCTACACACACCAACACACACTTGCACCAGCGTGGTGAGGTATGGACAATCAACCCCTATGACCATGAATTGGAAACCAAATTAACAACAAGATACTTTTTTTTTAAAAATTCGGTAAACAAAAAGAACCTCTCAATATTTCAAGAGCCGCAATGCACTGTGGTGGTAAATACGAGACGGTGGCGGTCCTCACTAAAACAACGTCACGAAGCAGTCCTTAAAGAGCCGCAGGTTGCCAACCCCCGGCCACGACCATCAACAGCCTGGGGCGGCCTCAATCTCGCCGTGGGTTGACAATGAACCGTCAACGAGTACTTATTGTATGACATTTCAATACACCGAGTTCCACAAATGATTGTTACTCGCTTAAAAACACTAATCCCACTGGAATATTACAGACGTATGCAGCAGGGGAACCGATGGTTAGCGAGCACCTATTTATGCTGACAATAACACGGCCAGAGTATAATGACTAGAATGGCCACCACAAAGCCGGCCGTCTTTGAGTCCCAGTTGCTGATGTTTAAACTCGACAACAGGTCCTAGAACATATTGAGAAACCTCTGGTTAATGATGTTAGTCATGGCCGGAAATTGAACCCAGGGTTCATTGCGTATTTCACCATATTGCCTATATTGACTGTTGGGGCAAGTTGTAACGGCAAGCACCAATTAAGGCCGGAACGGGACACGTTCGGGGTAGTGGGGCTGGTGGCGAGCACAACGCCAGGCCGTCTTTGTCTCCCCAGTGCATACACACTTAGACGGACACTGTCCCGGAGGTGAGGGTGGGGAACCACACCCGGACACGTGACATGTGACACGTGTCGAGATCTGAGTCAAAAAACTCAATAACACATACCACACACTGACACATACACCCTCATACCACACAAACACACTCACTCACCCCAAAGACAAATACAAAGATCCCGCCTATGTCCTTGACAGACTGTTGGGGCCAGTGCTGTTAGCAAGCACCTATTAAGGCCGGCACTGCACACGAGGGAGTAGGTG